GCATCCCCATGTTTGTAGCAGCACAGTTCACAGCAGCTAAAGCACGGAAGCTGCCGACGTGTCCATCAGCAGGTGGATGGGCAAAGAAAATGTCTTTTCATAGTGGAGCACTAGTCTGCCACAACAAGGGCAAATCTGAGTCATCTGTAGGAAAATGGATGCATGCTGAGAGCATAATACTGAGTGAGGTCAGTCAGACACAGAAGGCTAAATATTCATGACTTCCTGCATATGAGAGATTCAAAACACATCAAGCTAAATAGCAAAATATAAGAGATATACTAAGAAACACAGGCAGACTGGTGATGGGATAGGGATCTAAGAAAGGGGGAAGAGGCTGGGAGGAGAGGAGCAGTCGAGTGAAGGTCATGCAGACGTGGCATGTGCGTCCCCAAGGATGTAGTCACCATGTATCACTAACGCACACTGATAATAAATGTAAAAGAAAAGGCAGAGGGGAGAGGGGATATGGTCAAAGCATGATACACGTATGTATGGAAATGCCATAGTTAAACCCATTGATTTGTGCAACCAATGTATATATAATAAAAAATAAAATTTCTAAAAGTATTCTATTTTACACTAAAAATGTACATTTATTTTAACTAGAAGTATTAATACGGTAGTTGTTATTAATTATTTTCCTAAATTTAGAATTTAAAAAAAATTCTTCTGTATTAAAAATGTGTTGCAAAGAATTTCTCCAACTCATCTTCTAAAACTCTAGCACAGTTTCTCAGGCCAACTCATGGACTGCTTATTTTTGATTACATTGAGACATTTGCATTAGAAGGAGCTTTGATGTGGCTTTCTCTAATAAGGTTAATGAATTATTTTGCACATATATGTGTGTACTTAGCCTCCTCTGTAACTAAGTCACAGTGGTGAGATGCCATTCTGCAAAACATACCTGTCGCACAAATGAGAATAGTGCCCTCACTAATGGCCTGCTGGCTGGGATTAAAGAAAATCCCTTTGTTTTGTTACAGAAACTGGTATCCTCTGCACCAAGGAGTAGGAAGGCAACCAACTTTATTACAACAGCAGGTTGTTGGGGATCACTCCCAAGGAGTCAACCCTGAGCTGGTTTTGGGACTGGCTTATATAGGTTTTGCAAGCAAGAAGTACAGAAGCTTGAAAGTGTACTAGACTTCTGTTGGGTAGTGTTGGTCATCTCTTGTTACTAGGTAGAAAGTCCTTGAAATAAGTGAGTAAACAGGATATGTTTGTGGCTAGAGTGTATGAGGGTGTGTGGCCAAATGCGGTCAGACTGAGCTGGGTCAGGCTATGTCTAGTTTGCAGCTGATGTAGCCAGTCAGGGCTGACTGAGTTTAATTACTGAACTCTGTGGTGGGTTAGATGATCATATTTTGTCCTAATATAGTATATCATACTATTAGGTGATTTTAAAAATTTCTATCACAGTTTGATTGAGTTTTTACCTGACCATTATTATGACCTGTCCTCAGTTCAATAAGCAGGAATCCATTTCAAAAGGAATGCGAGAATCGTATCCAAGTGTTTCACAACATGTAAGCCTCAGTGGGCAGAGTCTGACATCAGAAAGCTGATTTCATATCCCGAGTCATTGCAAAGTATCTAGGGAACCTCAGTCTCAAAGGGCCAGGTCCCCAGGGAACCCCCGGTGATTAAGTAGAGAATCTGCTTCACAGGTCCGACACCAGCCAGCGATGGCGCAGCCCCAAGGTCACCGCTGCACAGAGCTCGGCTCTCTGGATGCTGGCGGAGCAGACAGGAGTTTGGGGTTTGTGCAGACTCCAGCGGCCCCTCTCAGGAGGAAGCCGGGATGGTATGTGTTTAGGTGTCAGACAGGCACACAGAGTTGTGTTTACTTGTTCTGGTTGTGATGGTTGGATTCTAAAATTACACTGGCCCCTGTAAATTATTCCTCATTATCAACGTAAACTTGGGCTTTGAGTTCACTACTTGGGAACAGTTGATGACTTTGCCTATATTTTCCAGGATATAAAACTGTAACAACAGAAAAGTAATTAAAGCAGAGTTCTTGAGTAGTCAAAGGCATAACACAAGCACATTCATTGTCATCCTGAGTTGAGTCCCAGGCCCATGTAATTATAAAATTGAGAGAAAGTCAAGCCAAGAACGAACAGGCCATTGTCCCGGATGGCATCAATTTATGAAGAGAACTTGTGAGTCCAGCTATGTCTCAAGAAATCTTCCAGACTGCACAGCGCACTTCACCCTCCCTGAGCCTGGGATATGGGAACCGCGGTGGAACGGCCCATCCAGGCATCATGGGACAAGCACCATCTGGACAAACAGACGCAGGAGACAAACCAGCCCCTAGACTGCAGGGACAGCGTTCCAAGGAAAGGAGCCAGTGTGTGACAAGAAGGCAAGTCCTGGGTGGAAGGCAGGATCCGCAGGGAGCAGTGTCCACACAGAGGAGGAAAGGGAGAGCAGCGGAAGAGGCTGGGGAGGCAGGGAGGAGAGGGAGGCGGGGAGGAGAGGGCAGCAGGGGCCAGAAACCATCAAGGTCTCAGCGTTTCTTTAAGCTGCTTCTGAGAAATCCATTCCCCTGTGGGTCAGTCTACCTGAAGCACCCTCTGCTGTGCCTCTGACAGTGAAAGCACAGGTGCTAAGACACCTTCCTTGACATAAACATCACAGCGTCATGTGAGGAGTGTGTTCCCAGGGGTTTACCCAGCAGTGGGGAGATAAACTCAGCACAGCGCAAGAGCAAAGTACAACAGGGATCAAAAAAGAAGACCAAGTAGGGGAATAGATGATGACTAGTGGGTGACAAGCTGACTGGTCTCTGGGCTGTGCTACCAGAACGATTCTCACTGAGCTCACTGTCCCTTGGGAAGCTGCCCTGGGCTTTGCATATTTACCAGGAGCTGCTTCACTGAGAAGCCGTGTGTTCCCGGGCAGCTGCCTGGAGCCTGCTGAGGTGATGCAGGGGAGAGACCTGGCGTTTTCCAGAGAGCAGGCCATGCTGGGCTGCACGGGGATCATATCAGAGTCGGGAACACTGGCCGCTGAAGCCAGCTGATTTGTAGGAAAATATCATATTGAGTCTGAGAGGCATAAGTGCTGACTTCAGAGTCTCTGGCCCGAGTCAGAGGGAGGATGCTGAGCCCACGAGAGAGACCGGAGCCTGCAGGGAGTCGGGGCTGGCAGGGTGCAGATCTGTAGGCTGAATAACCAGCCCCGTGTGCACTTCCAAAAGGGGAGCTGGCTATGCAGAGCTTGCTTCAACCTGACCATACATTTGGGGGTTAAAGCAAGGAGAGGATTTAAACCCAGGAGCGTGTGAGGCCCCCTTGCCATCCCCAGGATGGTAAATAAGCAGATTCATGAAGAAAGCTGGAGGCTGCCTGAAGCCATGAAGGAGCAGGAGCTGAGAGGAGGCCTGGGCCTGGGACTCCTTCAGGGAGTCCCAGGGAGCAGTGTCCCCTCCTTCACAGAGGGGAGGAGGCCAGCTCTGGGGTCAGCGGGGCCCAGGAGAATAGCGGAGAGGAACATAGGTGGAGGGAGGAGCCCTGCAGGCCAGGACGGAGACTGTGGAAGCCCACCAGCACGCGGCAGGGACCAGCACCGAAACCCCACCTTGCTGCTGACTCAAAGGCAGAGAAAATCCTGGGGTGGAAGAGGGAGTAGAGCAGGCACTTCCTGTGTCTTGTGCACATGTGTGTGTATATGTGCATGTGTGTGCATGTGTGTGTGTGTACACACCCATGTGTGGTGCAGACGGCCAGGTGGGGCTCTCCATACCTGGCACAGCCCTCACCTCAGCCTCTGGCGCACCGGCCGCCCCCAGGGCACAGAGAGCCAGGGCTGCTGCTGAAAGCAGGTGAAGGACAGTCAGGGAGGAGACCGCAGGGCGAGGAGGCCGGGACGCAGGGGGCTCGCGAAGGACAGTCAGGGAGGGGACCGCAGGGCGAGGAGGCCGGGACGCAGGGGGCTCGCGAAGGACAGTCAGGGAGGGGACCGCAGGGCGAGGAGGCCGGGACGCAGGGGCTCGCGAAGGACAGTCAGGGAGGGGACCGCAGGGCGAGGAGGCCGGGACGCAGGGGGCTGTGCGGTGGAGTTAGTTTTGTGACTTGCAGTGCAGCACTGTTGCTCCGCCAGCTTCAGTGTGTCACAGCTCATGGACAGCACGTGGATGCCACTGCACCGAGCTGTGCTCAGGAGGAAGAAAAATAGCGAGGCCCGCAGGGTCCTTGTGTGCAGGAGACGGGTCCAGGTGCCTTCCCGGGACTTCTCCTAGGGCGGGGAAGGACAGGGTGAGTGCACACGCACACACAGACCGAGCTTTGCATGGAGAATGAATAAACTTTCTCCTGAAGTCATGGGAACTAGGCCGTGTCTCTTCTCTATCAGACCAGCTACGCCAAGGAACAAAGACGCCATTTCTTCCATGCCGGCATGATTTTTATGCAGCTCTTGTTGTTCTTCCTAATTTCTGTTTCCCAGTTTACTGATACACAGCTGCAAATAAACGTTGCATGTATTTAAGGTTTGCAATTTATTTTGATATGTGTGTATGTCAGAATCATTATTCCCAATCTTATTAACATATCCATCCCCAAGGATAGTCACGGTTTTGTGCTTTCTTTTCTTGTCCTTTTTTGCATGTGTGAGATCTAATCAGAGCCCTGTAGCTGTTTATGTTATTGTTTCATTTCTGGGGATGGAACGTGCTCCGCAAGTGCTCTAACCCTGAGCCACATCCCCGGCCCTTGCCTGTGTCTTTCAACTGGAGACTTCAGTATTTAAAAAAAACCCAAGAAATGGAACTTACTGTCCCTTCCCAAGCCCTAACCTTCACTTTCAGCATGTCATTTCAAAATGCAGTCATATTACAGAAAGGTGGAATTATGCATTTATTTTTCTAATAACCTGGACACACAGCCTGAACTATTTTTTAAAATCTCTTATGTTTCAAACATCAATAATGATACATGTTTTATGCCTTGCATACGTTTTTCAAAAGTGTTTTCTGCCCCCCACAGGCAATGGGACCCCAAAATGCGTCCTCTGTGGCTGAGTTCCAGCTCTTGGGGTTTCAGAGCCTCCTGGAATGGCAAGGCTTCCTCTTCGCCGTCTTCCTGTGGGTCTACTTCCTCACCGTCGCTGGGAACGTGGTCATCATCGCCACGGTGAGCCAGGACCCCCGCCTGCACTCGCCCATGTACACCTTCCTCAAGTCGCTGTCCTTGCTGGAGATCCTGTACACCTCCACCATCGTGCCCCGCCTGCTGGCCAACCTCGCCTCCCGGGGCCACGCCATCTCCTTCTCCGCCTGCATGGTGCAGCTGTATTTCTTCGTGTGCTTCGGGGCCACAGAGTGCTTCCTCCTGGCCGTCATGGCCTATGACCGCTACCTGGCCATCTGCAGCCCACTGCACTACTCCTCCCTCATGAGTTCAGACGTCTGCAGCAGGCTGGTGGCGCTCTGCTGGCTCACGGGCCTGGGCACGGGCTTCCTGCCTTCCCTGATGATCTGCAGGCTGGACTTCTGCGGGCCCAACCGGATCAACCACTTCTTCTGCGACCTCCCACCGCTGATGCAGCTCTCCTGCTCCAGCATCCGCAGCGCAGAGCTGGCCATCCTCGTCCTCTCCGTCGCAGTGCTGTGCATTTGCTTTTTCCTGACCCTCGTGTCCTACGTCTTCATCGTGTCCTCCATCCTGAGAATCCCGTCCGCCTCGGGCCGCTCGAAGACCTTTTCCACCTGCGGCTCCCATCTGGCAGTTGTCACCATCTACTACGGGACCATGATCTCCATGTACGTGCGCCCCGACTTGCACCTGTCGCAGGAAGTCAACAAGATCATCTCTGTCTTCTACACCGTGGTCACTCCGCTGCTGAACCCTGTTATCTACAGCTTGAGGAACAGCGACTTTAAGCAGGCCGTCAGGAGAGCGGTGCGGAGGAAGCGCGGCGTCTGCGGGTGAGGCCGGGAGCTCCTCACCTGGCAGGAAGCGTCTTCGCCGGCACACGAGAATGGAGGCAGCGGCGGGAGCAGGGCTTGGCGTGTTCACTGAGCATGGTTGGTGCTGCGTGGGGTTCTGCAAGAGGCAATGAAGCAGTTTCTTGAGGATCCCTTGCCAGCAACTGATCACAGAATAAATTCTTCCTTTGGGGGCAGTTTGCCCTTAGACACTTTCATTTTTCTTTCGATGGAAATCTCACTGTACAATTCTAGTGCGTGGTGATTGAGTGCACATTACCTTCAGTTTCGACCACAAAATTCCTGATTGCATTTTTAGAGCCGTTATCCCTGTGCATAGAGAAAGTTCTTCGTTTTTACATGCTGTGAGGAGGCTGGACTTGTAGACCTAAAACCTGGTGGATGACACTGGTACTTATTAAATAGCTGTAAAAAACAATGGATGTAAAAAGAAAAAACAATCAGATATCTAAAATGGTTATTGCCCTGGATTATCTGTTAGTAATAATAAAAAACGGAGGGTTGCTGACGGGCCAAACATCTATCTTAAGAAGTTAGACTATTATTAATGCTTTTTAAAATGGAATTCTAAGAAACAATGAAAGACAATGAAAAGGGAGAAATGAAGAAAGAAGGAAGAAGGGAGATATCAAGAAAGGAGCAAGGAAGGATGGCTGCATAGAGAGAGAAAAGAAAAAGAAGATCTGAAGGACTTTGTGCTGTTGTAAGCCTGGGAGTCAAAGGCTGCACACTGCAGTGTTTAAACCCCTGTCCTTTTCTCTGTAACTCAGCTGCGTGCAGGAGACCTCTGCACGTCTGCCCATCGTCCCCGCAGGGATCTCCAGACCCTGTTTCAATCTGCAGTCTGAATTGTCCACAGGTGAAGTGGGATAGAAAGGGCCAAGATGACATTGCTTTAATGGAGCAGCATGTCTAGAAAGGAAGAGATACACAGTGAGTGACACAGAAGCGCTTGATGTATTTTACACAGGATGACCTTTGAAGCAGCAAGGTACCAGTGGGTTCATAAACTTAGAGCAGCAAGGTCTGCATCAGCACCCAGGGTTAGAAAAGCTCTCTGTTCATTCTGTGCTTTGCTTCACAGGGCGAGGATGAGATGTGGACCTGGCCAGGGGCACAGCAGGAGTGACGGAAGGAGGCTGAGGGAGTGGGGAGGTGTATATACGAAGGCATATACACATATACTTAAGCAACAATTAAATTAAGCTAATTATCATATTCCTCGCCCTGCATAGAGTAATTGCATTTTTTGCAGTGAGAATATTTAATGCCTCTATTAGCGATTTTCAACGGTGCAGTATATTATTTTTAGCTCTGGTCACCGTGTCATCCTGCAAAAGACTCTCAGAACTCTCTCCACTTGTCTGACAGAAGCTCTGAGCCCTTGGCCCTCTCCCGCTCGCCCGTGCTGGGTCCAGGGCTCTAGAGTCACTCACCGCACTGCTGTATCTGTACTCCAACCCTCTCCGCCCCGCGCCTTCTTCTGGTCGCCTGCGCCCTGCTCTACTTCTGTGCACTCATCTTATTTCTGATACCACATATCAGAGATCACGAGTACCACAAGTATTTTTCATTTTGGGTCCGGCTTCATTCCACTTGCAAAATGTCTCCCACGTTCACTTACGTTGTTACAACGACAGCATCTCCTACTTTTATGAAGCTGGATAACCCTTCCTCCCTCACATACACCACAGTCTTTAACCAGCCGTCCATGTGAACGTGTGGTAGTTTCTTGCCAATAAGGCTAGAGGAGAATGAGACTGCAGATATGTTTACAAGGTGCTGATTTAACTTCCTTCAGAAAAAAAAAAAAAAAACCAGGCTAAATAGATAAAGGATAGATGACAGAGATATAATCTTTAATTTGGCTCTTGTAAATTATGCTTCAATCAACATGGGAGTACAGATATTTTGCTTTGAGATCCTGATTTGAATTCTTTTAGACAAATAACTAGACATAGGAAAAATATGATAGTCTGTTTCTAACCCTTGAGAATGCTCCGTGCTGCTTTCCGTTGTGACTGCACCAATTTACAACCCACCAACACTGCGTGGGACTCTTTCTCCACCCTCCCAGTGATGGTGGCCTGGACTTGCATCTCCCCGATGATGAATGCCCTGAGTAGTTTTCTGTATTTATCAGCCATTCCTTTAAGAAATGTCTGTTCATGCCCATTGCCCATTTCTAAATTGACTTATCTATTTTCTCCCCATTGAATCGTGTCCGTTGTTAATGCTTTAGCTAGCAACCCTTTATCAAATGTATGGTTTATAAATTCCCTATCTATAGACTGTCTCTTCACAGTGCTAATTGCTTTTTTTTAAAAAAACTGATCCTATACTTCTCAGTTTGGTATGATCCCACTTGTCTAGTTTTGCTTTCTTGCCCGTGTTTCTGAGGTTATATTAAAAAAATCTTTGGCCAAGTCTCCATTTTTAATGGTATTAGTGTTGCTGTTATTTACTTGTGGTGACTGTTTTGCATATAAATATTTTCTCCTACTGTGTAGTTTGTCTATTTATTCTGTCATTTCTTTTGCTGTGAAGAAATTTTCTATTTACTTTTTAAACTTGAGTTTACATGAGTTAAGAATATTGCAATGCTGATGATTAGGGTAGGATATTAGGGGTACTGAAATCAATTTAATGTTGTAGCAAGGACTTTGAAGACTTATTCCAGAATAAGCACACACCTGTTGTGCAGGAAGGGTGTCATAAGATATGGACACAGAAATTCATGTAAGTGAAAAGTACAAAAATGAGAAGAGATCCTTACCTGTACAGTAGTTCACTGGTGCATTCTGTACATCATTTCCCCTGTGAAACAAAAAGCCAGTCATTGAGAATAACAAAGAAGTTATAGCAGACGGATTTTGTGAAAATGGTGAATAGCTAGAATTTCTGTCTGGGGGTGCTTCAGAGATAACAGAAACATTGAGAACATTGTAGATTATACCGAGAGCCCAGCTAGAGTAAGAGACCATAAATGAGAGGGACCACAGTGTTTCTCAAGAAAGAGTTAAGAATATCATACTTCAAGTCTAGAGGAAAACCACCTGACTTCAGTTTAAGCAAGTGTATCACACATGAACAAAATATGCAAGAATATAGAACAAGGTCTACAGGCTCTGAAGAGAAACTTTTGGAGAGACCATGTAGCCAGCCATAGGGTTACTTGCACTTTGTGAATTCATCTGCTCGTGACACCAGCCCATTTCCCATGAGCCTCCTAGCAATTAGAAAGATCAGGGTCAAGCTACAAATGTAGCTCCGGTACAGAGAGCTTGGCTAGCATGGAACAACCCTGTTTGATCCACAGCTTTGTGAATATATATATATATGTGTGTATTAAAATCCTTCACTGACTCTTCATTACTTAATATTTTCTTAGCTTTGTTTCACTTTAGTGAGAAATCTCTGATACTTGTAAATATTTATGCTGTTGTGGACACTTCTCAATCATTTATGACAGTGAGTTTTGGGGGACTTAGGAGTTGATGAAATGAAAACACGTAACCAGCAGGCAGCAGTGAGACAGAAGCAGCTCTGCTCTGGCAAAGAGGGGAGGGGGGTGCAGGAAGCCCTGGAGAAAGGGATGCAGAAGGCGAACCTGTGTCCAGCGATGTCACCAAGGGTGAAGAGGCTCCAGGGTCAGAGCGACAGGAAGCACAGCGGTGACTTGTGACTTTTACGGCTGCACGCTTTGTCTTATCTATGACTAGCAGCTGTTGTTGACGGTTTTCTGGAGTATAAAAAACAGTCCGGCTGTAAATACTTCAAAATCTGCTCAGTAGGATTAAACATAAAATAACTGGCGTGTAAAAATTTGAGTCTGGCTTTATGGGGCTTTTGAGCTGCAGGTTCTCCCCGAGGCAGCGAAGGAGACAACAGGGCGTGCACAGAGTCCCACTTCCTGTCTGCTGCAGAAAGCCCGCCCCTTCCCGACACCCCTGCCCGCGCTCTCTCCATCAGCACCATCGCACGGCCTGCTCCGTGCCCTTGGCGTCACTGCGGGTGAGCTTCCTCCTCTCCTGGGTCACGTGCACGACCAGGAGCCAAGCTGGCTTCAGTCTCAGCCCCTCTCATGCCCCGCCCCCGCGAGGCCTCAAGAGCAGGGCACTTCCGGTAGGGCTCTCTAACTGCTAAATGTTTCTTTGTCCAGCTCTTCAAATCCGATTTTCGCAGTGTCGACACTCAGTATAACTTTCCCTGGGAAACATAAAGGGTTTGAGGTGAATTAATATTCTGTATTTTCCCACTCAGGAGAAAATTGACTTCTTCACAACTTTAAGTTCCCCTTTCTTCTTAGTAAAGACAGAGCCTGAAAGTAGGAAGCAGAGTAGGAGGAGGGAGTGGAGGGATTCCACCAACAGCGCTGATCAGTGCTGAGGAGAGAGCACGTCACCGTGAGCGAAGGCCACAAGTGAGTGGGGATCAAAAGGAGATGACACGCGCGTCCCCTGCTGTGGCCCAGCACCCGCACGTCACTTAGTGTCCCGGGAACAGTGACCTCCAGGTGCAGAAAGGAGCAGGCGGCCACACACACAGCACGGGACACCTCCATCTGGCCAAAACCTCAGAAAAACTGCGGTGTATTAGCATCAGCTTATGGCCAGGAAAAAAGGGGAGAAAAATGATTTGCCACATTGGAGGTTGTGTGTCTGGAAATGCAGTGTGAATAAAGATCTACTTGTCCTAGGCCCTGTGTCACCTCACCACACCTCCTGCTCTGTGAAGTGTAAGGTGCGTGGAGTACAGTAATTTCCACTGAATACATTTAACAACGGCCTTGTTACAGTCAGGGTTTGCAAGGGAATAATCAAATACAGGACACATAATTTATAAGATTATTTCATAATAGATAGTTACCCAAAGAGTCATATACAAGAGAGTGCAAGAAATCTGTCCACATATTAAGAACAGAAGAATCCAGCTGAGGGCCTGGCTCCAGCAGCAATGTCCCTCCTGAGCCCAGGTAAGACCCATAGTCCATAACAATGCCCCCTAATGGTCCAACTGGAGGCCAAGAGCCCACGACAATGTCTCATGCAAGCCTGTTTCAAGGATCTGCTCTGGGAAGGCCCAAAGGTCAGTGGTGGAAGCTAGAAAGTTAATGCAAGCAGGATGAAGGGTCTGTGCTAGCAGGCTGTGGGATCTTCACTGGAGCCAGAAAGCAATGCACAAAGTAAAGACCAGAGCTCTCCCAAAAAGTATCACCACACCAGTGAGGTCCTGAGCTCCTCCCATGATGAGAACAATTGAGTCCATATCAGGAAAGCCAACAAAACAAGGTTATCCAGGGGGTTGAGCAGTGCACCATCTTCCCCTCTGGAGCCAGGAAGCAATGCTTAAAGTAAGGACTAGAGCTCCTGCAGTGAACCAAAGCTATTCTCTGTGACAACAAGTCCCAAGCTCCTTCGATGATGAGAATAGCTGAGTTCATCAGGAAAGCCAGCATGACGAGCTCCTCCAAGAGAAACAACAGTGCCCAACAGCTTCTCTTCTTCTCCAGTTCTGCCTCTTCTGCTGCTGGCAACAGTCCTCAGTGGGGCCTCCCACACCCAGCACCATGCTGGTTCAGTTCAGCTGGGTGCTACCAGTTGACCACCAGCTGTCAACCCACCACAGGCTAGTTCCACATATTAGTCCTATTGATCTCTGTCACTGCATCAAGTTTAAGTGTTGTTTAATGTCGTGTTCATCACTTTCGTATCCCAGGGACAGAACACTGATCCTGCACCATCAACATAAAGGAGAGCAGAGGAGGGGCCTGGTAGGAATACTCTGTTCTCATCCCTGAGCCTGGAGGCAGAGAGTGAAGGGAGGATCCTGCAAGGGAGATGCATTCTGCCAGGTCACAGGTGACTCCCCGGGGCCCCTCTGCGCAGCGCCCTCCTAGCAGCACATTCAGCCCCTGAGCTCCCCTGCGGATGAGGCACCAGGAGCACAGCACCCAGGATGCCATCGTCTTCCAGACCCACGAGAAGTGGGGGCACACCGGAAATCCAAACCACGGCAAGCGTCCCTCTGTGCAGGAGCAGTGTTTGATCCTCATGTACTTTGTATTTATTTTTACATTTGAAAGACGCTCTATGTTTGGATCCTTGGGTGATCATTTTTCCTGGTCTTCTGATGCTTCTTTGTGAGATTCTTCCATTCAGAGTTTTGTATTAGACACTTACAGTAAAGGTAGTGGAACTACTTTAATCAAATAATATCTAGCTACTGTCCCTCTTGCACCCCAACTGGGTGCTGATTCTTAAAACATAAAGTGAAACAGTATTCTTTCTACGTGGAACACAAGACTTTTTAACAGGAATATAATTACCTGATGATTTGGGCTCCCGAAGCGCACAGAGGCTGTAGAAAAGAGGAATGAGGATAGTAAGTCAGGAAAGGCATTTTCAGGGAGAATAGAGAAGCATTAGCATTTGAATTTCCTCAGCTTTCCTTCAGCCCCTACCACCCCGCCCTAAATAAATGAGAAACCCGGGTTCTGGGGCAGCTGGGCAGCTCTGTGATTTTCAGTGTCTGCTTCTAAGATCCTTGGCTTAAACAATGAGAAAGCACTGGAGGACTTGAAGCAAGGACCTCAGTGACCAGAAAAGCATGGGAATTAACAGCAGACTGTGGCTTTCTGATAACTTTGAGCTTTGGCCTCATTTCTACCGAGCCAGTTTTCTTTGCAGCTTATGGAAATTACTGAGAGCAAAAATGGTGTACTATCTATGTAAAGGAGGAATTTTACCTTAAAATATATACAGATTTCAAATTTAATATAAGTACAGATAATTTATTTACAAGTAATAAGATGATCTTCTCAAAAAATCCTTCAATTTCACTATTGAACAGTGTGTAAATTCCTGATTTTATATTTTCAACTGTATATTAAAAACTACAATGCTATGGTTTTATTCTAGAGAATAGCCCATAATTTTTAAGTATTTTTAATATAAAAGGAAGGTATGTATTTAGAACTACTAAGTAGTTTCTATTGATTTTACTAATATGTAGTAATGTAATTAGCATCATTGAATATTCAGCATAAATGCATTTAAAATATACTAAAGTAAATCCACCTGTCCTTAAAGCACATCGAGTCAACCGCTGGAGTTTATAAACATGCAGATTCCTGGGGACTACCTTCCACAGCTGTAGTCAGACTGTCTTGATGTCATCTCCAGGAGCCTTTTCCAGGAAAAGTGACCTTAGGAAATGCTTATTTAGGAAAGAAGTCAGGGGGTGCATGGATAGAATGGGCTCCCCCAGGTCAGCTCCTACGCCGAGACCTGAACGGGAGACTTCGGGGCCATGGGCTGCACCCACAAGCTGGTCACGAAGTCCACTGGGCTCTCCTCAGCTTAGCTGATGAGACCACAGAATGGGGCAGGAGCGAAAATGCAGCTTTGTGCCGTGTTTCACAGGCTCCCATGGCTTTACCGTGTCTCCACAGCTCCCTGCTAAGAAATGAAGTGATGCTTCATTTCTGTATCACTGCAGTGAACTAGAAGCTGAACTACAATTTTTTCTTTCTAGGTGAGGGCTTTGCCTTCATAATACACGTAAATTAAGTGGAAATTACTGCATTAAAATAACTTGTTCTTGTGGTACCAAATTATATTATTTAATTTGTTACATTCCTTGTTATATAAACAGTTAAAAGGTAAATGGATAGAGAAAATGGGAGATGTACATAGATATATACTACACACACACACACACACACACACACACACACACACACGGCTGTAGTGTGTGTGTGTGTATTTGTAATGTGTAATACAATTCAGCCTTTAAAAAATGAATTCTGCTATTTGTAACACCATGTATCAACCTGTGGAACATTATACTACCTAAAATAAGCCAAATACTCAATACTGTATGATTTCACTTGCATGTAAAGAGTAAAAGGTGGCTTCCAAGAGTTGGACATGGGAAGAAATTGGTTAGTTTCAGACAGACAGGATCAAAAAATTCAGGAAGTCTGTATGGACTGCAGTGGCTACGATTAATAAACACAGAGTTTAGACTGAATAGTTTCTCAGAAGAGCTCGAATGTCTCGCCACATGAAAAGTAATGGTATGCAGGGCTGGGGATTTAGCTCAGCGGTAAAGTGCCTGCCTGGCAAGCGCAAGGTCGTGAGTTCGGTTCCCGGTACCGGAGAAAAATCAAAAAAAAAAAAAAAAGTAATGGTATGTGGGGTGAGGGACATTTTAATGAGATTGATTTAATTATTCTGCAATGTGCTGATATATCAAAACATCAAGTTACATATAGTAAAGCTATACAGTTTTTATTTCTGAAGTGAAACCTTTTAAAGCTGGTAAATATAAATTATAAAATAGTTTATGATAAAGGAATGACAGAAAGGATCTAAAACTTTTTGAATAAACATCATTCCTGTTTGGGACAGACAGGATTACTTCTAAACTGTAGTGTGGTTCTAAAATTGTGTTGAGTCTAAGTACTTAGCCATGCAACAGATTTTTATCTGATTAAAAATCACAGCAAAGAAGTGATTATTAAGCTTATATCTTACACGCACCACACGCACACACACAAACCACACATCTACCAACTTTTTAAGAGAGAGAGGAACAAACTAGTGGAACCTTAATTTGTTTAGTTGATTTAATGTATTTGTATTAGATTAATTCATGTAACTAAATAGAGCATCTCCACTAGTCAAGCTCACTCTGTTTAAAGATCCAGCAGCGTATTTAAACCTCTAAAATTTTTCTTCACTTGTGTGTGAGTGCATACAGGTGCTGAGCCAAAGTTAAGAAACTTCTTTTCCTACTGTAATCATATCAGGATTTACAGTAATACTGTGCTGTCATTGCTTGAATGGAAACGTTCTCATAATTGATCTTTCGAGAAATTGATGTCAATCGACATCATCCTCCCGTAATTTCAATTTGTTGCCTTTTTCTACTCTTGCCTGTTTCCATTAACAAAT